TTTTTAAGCAACAGATATCCAGCATTAACATCCTTCTTTCCTCTTTTAACTCTCTATTAAGTGGCACTGCCCCAGGGAAAAGTTGGTGCCTCTGTGGGGCCAGATTGCATACAGGTTTGCAACTGACATGGGAATGAGAGTCTTGACTTTGCAGGTTGTTGTATCCCCATACATTTGTACTGTTTTGGGGGCCAGATGCTAGAGTAAAAGCCAACTACTTTCCCCAAGGAGCTACTTACTATCTTACCAATAGCAGCATATTTACACATCTAGGACAACAGATGTCTTTGGTGTCTCCGTGTTCTCCTTTGCTTCACGCTATCCAGATAAAGCTGGTCCTTGCCAGGGTGGCCTGCCTGCAGAGTCAGGAAGCTGGGATTACTGTATCCCAGGGTTGGTGTACCTTGCTTTATATTGCTTAGTACCTTCTAGACATTTAATAGCTTGCATTTACTTTAGTTTACCTTAGAGAACCCTCAAAATGGGAAGGTGGGGAAGGACCTTTAAAAGAAATGGGAAAATAATTTAGGAGTCCTAATGTTTTAGGACAGGGCTGCCACCCCCATGGAAGTGCCCTTATGCCTTAAAAACTGTGCCATGCCATGTGCTTACCTGCCACATCACACAGCAGAGGCAACCCTGCTGTATGGCGCTGGCATCCTTGAGCCACCCCATCATGGGTTCCCTTGGCACCCTTTCTACCCCATCCCAGGGGTAGAGGCAGGAAGTGGAAGTCTGAGGAAGGAGGGGGAGCCCCAAAACTCCAGAGGTGGCAGCAGCAGCTGGAGTGGTGGGGGAGCAGCACCTGGACCAGGAATGCAGGGGTTGCAGGTTTATCTTTTAGGGGCTAGATGCAACCTGTGGGTTGCCAGTTGGACAGCCCTGTTTTAAGAGACTGCATATGCCCAGTAGTATGAGGAGAAAAGTGTTATTCAGGTTTGTGTATTCTCCTGGGTCCCTCTGATATAATGCATTACAAACACAAAGACACACATTTGCAAAATTCATATGGAGTAGAGGTTTTTTTGAGGATACAGCTCAGTATATACAACTGGAACTACACAGATGTAGTATTCACAGATCTGCGCTTAATGAGCATAGAATTAGAATATTCAAACAAACAATCCATCGGTACAGGATGCCAGGGTACAAAGTAGAGCTAGGGGACCACAAAAACTAACAAATACAAGTTACTTCCTCCTATGTTTGTTTTTAAAGTTCAAATTTTTAAAATGCAAAGTCAAATAAAGAAATCAATTGCATCAAGAAGAACAAAAGTTATTAAGGAAGAGCAAAGCTTCTTTAAAATCTACCATATAAATAGACAGATAATTTTCAAATGTTATCTATGGATGTGGTTAGGCAGGACAAACAACATTTGAAAATCAGTAAATTAGATCTGGAAAAAATAATCTGTCATGAATTCTTTGATGAATGTAAACTCTCTGCTCACCAAATATCTGAGAGCTTAGGAATCTGCTCTTCAGAATAATTTTCGCAATAATTTCTGCTCATACTCCTTGTTGTGTGGCTTGGCTGTTCAAAATGTTGAGGTTTCTTATCAACATTTGACTTATTTTAATTGCACACAATTTATGAGCAGTTTTCTTCCAAATGTAAAACCAGATTTCCCTTATGTATATTCATGAATCTGAAGTTTGCTTTCTTTGACTATTCTCCAAGATTCCTTGTTTCAAAAGTCATCCAAATAGTCACCAGGGGACAGAAATCAAGTCATAGGACCAGCACCAAGCAACTGCACCAAATATATCCTATTAATCCATTAAATGAGTGATTAAATGGCATGTAACTGAAGCATTGGCTTCCTCGTGCTCAGCCTGCCAATGAGGTGAATTTCACGCAGCGTGAACATAAGCAAGGTAGAACCACAACCTAAGCTAGATCATTTACAAATCCTAACCACGTTTGTAAATTTTCTTAATCTGCCACCACTGGAAAATAGGGCTGGAAGGGACCTCATGCGGTTATCTAGTCGAGCCCTCTCCTCACTCATCCAGATCTTGTAGCAACTAATTGTACAGAGTAGCCATTTCAGTTCATCATCTCATGTTACAAATACCAAGAACTGGCAAAGTGATCATAGGGAACAAAACCATACATCCATGTCTCAGAATAACCTTACTGCTCACACTTCCTTTTCCCAATATTTGCCTGATGCAAATACTGTATTTGTTTTATTTTGAATTTGGTAGTATGCTCTCCACAGCCAGGTTTTTTCTTTTTTTACTAAATATCACAAAGTACTGAAGATTTCAGACTGGATATAAGGAAAAACTTTTTCACAGTTCATGTGACCAGACTCTGGAATAGACTCCCAATGGGGGTGGTGCAGGCACCTACCCTAGAGATCTTCAAAAGGAGACTGGACGCACACCTTACTGGGGTTATTGGACCCCAGCAGTCCTTCCTGCCCAGAGCAGGGGGCTGGACTCGATGATCTCATGAGGTCCCTTCCAGCCCTAAACTCCTGTGAATACCTTTGAATTCTTAAAATGCCGTATTTACTCAAAAGAAGAAAAGCCCCCCACCCCCTCCAAACAGCACGGGGAAAAAAAGCCCCTTGTGTTACAGTCCCATATGAAGCAGAAGGTTAGCGAGGGGGAGGGCTGCTGTGGCTCCAATTCTGGTCCTGATTCCAGGTTGGGGCCAGAATCAGACCCAGAGCAGCCTCTTGCACCCCCATGACTTGCCCTCTGCAGCTTTTGCCCATCCCACCCCCCGCTTGCCCCTTTCCCTCCTCCTTACCACCAGGCACAGCTCAGCTCAGGATCAGCTGGGGTCTCTGCCCAGCAATGAGCACCAGCATTGCTGCAGTCACACAAGGGCTGTTTCCACATGCTGTGATCCAGGACAGCAGTTCTCAACCATGGGGCCACATCCCCCTGGGGGGCCATGAGCAGGTTACACTGGGTCTGTCTGGCTTGGCCCAGCTCAGCACGAAGGCAGGTCCTGAGCAAGGGTGGGTCCGCCTGCCCCCTCTGCCCCACAGCCTTCATCTTGCGGGTGGTGCTGCAAGAGGGTGGAAGCTTGGCTTTGTATTATGCAAATAGGAAAGTTTGCTTTTTTGGCCTGAGGCAGTGGGTGGCAACCTTTTAAGGCTGTGGGTGGGTTAGAGGCAGGTTGGGAGTAGGACTTGGCCACCACTGCTTCTCCCCACTGTAGCATAAGGGTATAAGCAGGTGGGGGAAGGGGTACTATTCCCAGCCACATGAGAGAGTCCTCCATTGTCAAAACCCCACATCCTTGGACAGGATCCAGTGGCTCTGTGGACTGGATTCAATCTGTGGGCCATAGGTTGCTGATCTCTGGCCAAGGGATTAGCCAATACTTGGAGCCTTCTTTAATAATTTCTTAGGAGACAAAACTAACATGAATCAGGTAGTGTTTTTATGCCACCCTGTTTACTTGCACACAGTCTTCTTTGCTCAAGACAGTGAAACAAACCCAGCAGGAGGCAGTTTTCTTGTTTGGAAACCCTTGTCCATTTTTTTAGTAAGTACTGAGCCAAAAAGCAGCTATACTTCATTCCTGAACTATACTCCCTAGTGCACTTCACTCGCTTCCCATTTGCTTTTTTGTTCCTCACACACAGCTGCAGCCAGTAATTCCCTGGGAAACTTCTCAGTCCCATGTCTTAGATTCTGACTGGTGTTGCCATTTGCTTCCCTATTGACTCCAGCTACCACTATTTAATTTCTGAGAAAGGTGCTTTGTACACTAGTCAACTCTAAAGAAGCCCCTGACTGTCCAAAATCAAGAGAGAGGAAAATATATCTTTTTTGGGGGTGGGAGGGTGGAGGAGAGTGATATCTTTTACTGGACCAATACTACATGGTTGGGGGACCTTTTAGACAAGTTTTAAAGCACAAAGAACTTTTCTTCAGGTCTGAGAAACATACAGTTGAGTTCAGTGCTTTTCCCTTTAAGCTGTGGATTTTCCATCGTAAATGGCAAATTTCAATATCCTCCATGTTGTGGTAGTGCTGGAGTGATGATGGTCCAGGAAACATGTGAAATGCAAGTAGTTTGTGCTCAAGAGCTTGTCTAAGATCTCTCCCAATCATGCAGCTTGGTACAATAAAAAACATCAACCCCAAAATATCCATGCCTCTCTCACTTCATGGACCATCATAGCTATATAATCACTCCAACACTACGACAATCAAAAAGTCTACTGATGCTCTAGCCATTACCCTCCTCCCTATACAACAAAAGTATCTTAAATTGGCACTTTTTGAAAATAAAAGCAAGCTGATGAATAAAGCTTGCTCCTAATTCCATGCCAAATTTCAGCTTGGAATGAATGCAGATATACTTTGATAATAGCAAGTCTAGTGAAAATAGGATATGACCGAAACCCTGGCACTGCAGGAAGACAACACCAAAAATGTTTTTGGAAGTGTTAGGGGAGATGTGCAACATACAATTCACCCATAGTATACTGACTGCCTAGAGGGCCTCTACTTCTACTAACACAACAGCAGCATCTAGAAACCCTAGCAGGCATCATGCAATACCTAGTAAGAAAGAGACTTTGTTTCAAGAGTTTTTAATCCAAAACTGGCTTCTCTAGCTGCTGCTTCCCTGCCTGGAAAGCTGCACTTCATTTTTACCTGTTGACTTCCCCGTGTTCATCCACATGCCTAAGTATGAGAGATGGAGATGGCAGGAAACCTTTCCTTCCCCCAGTAAGGGGAGGTACAAGAGGTAACACCCTAAGGAAGTTGCAGACAGAGGAAGAATGCTGGGAAAACAGGGTGATCTGACATCATCATCAGGATGGGTGTGGACTTCTCAAAAGGGCCTCTCAAAACCTTGGGATTTTCTTATTTGAATCTTAAGACCATTTTATTAGGGTATCTGGCCTTACTTTTATTATGCATATTTTGGAATGATCTAGCGCGCACAGGCCAAGAAACTAATATCAAGACAGACCGATTAACATGAAACTGCCAAGGAACATAAAAACACACCAAAAATGTTCTCCAGACACTTCCTTTTATTGGGATACTGAAACAGTTTAATGCACAAATGCTTTGTGTTAACTCTAAATATTTCCTTTGTTCAAGCAACATTTACAGCTCACGTATATTTCTTGAATCATCTTTAAACGTGAAATACGTTTGCAGTAGCAGCTTCATAGATCGGTGAATGCCAACACCCCACAACCCTGTTTAAAATAAGGTCCAGATGGAGTGACAAAAAGGAGACAGTACACTATTCTCTGCAGTGACCTGGATCACATTTCAAAAGTGTAAAATCAAAGTTGCTCAGCCATACCTTCACTTCTTTCTTAATGTTTTCCTTATGTATTTTGCCCTCATCCAAAAATAATGATTTCTAGCATAAATAAAAGGGGAATTGCAGATTTCCTTATAAAAGCAATGAGCTAAACTAATAATAAAAAAAATCAATTATTTTCAAATGTTCCAAGTAAACTACATGGTTTCTTTTCTTTCTTTCCTTTTTTTTTTTTTAAATAATCATCCAAGTAGTTTCTTCATCCAAAAATAATTTTACAGTATAAAATTTATAGCTCCATACTACTCGGCTCCTTTAGCCTCTCAAGTATTACAAATTATATTATTTCATAACTAGCCTGTTTAATTAACAGGTCAACTCAATAAAGTTTCCCTACTAATTAGGTTCAACATGTTTTTCCCCAAGGTACCAGATGTTAACTTTTATTAAAAGTTACTCTTGACCAAATATACTTTTAATCTGTACTTGAGGTATATTAGCCTATAGTCTTATCAAGACAAAGCTCTCTTTACTAGATTTTCAGTTGCTGTAACAATCAGCATAGATTTAAGTATCTGGATCTTTAACTCCAACAGTTCAGGATAAAGCACCTCTGGCTTTGATCCACCTTTGGCTAACATGGCCTATGCTTTGTTATTATTTAACAGGACTGAATCCTGTTCCCATTTTAAGAACTATGACTTCTGAAATGCATAAAAATAGGGAATTTAATTCATAGTAATTTACTTTATAACCACAAATCAATTAAAATGGCTTTCCCTCTCATTTCTCAGTGTATGTATCTTCCAGTATGACAACACTGAAAACTAGTCCTAACAAATTTCCAATGACTTCCTAAATTAAATAGAATCACCTGTCATCCTCTAACTCCAGCCAACCTCTTCATAATCATGATCAACTCCATCTGCTTACTCTGTCAAATATAAAGAAACATAACTTTAAAAAAAAGTATCAAGATGGAAAGACCAGTTCTGCCAAAGCAGGCACAGATGAGCGCTCTCTGTGCCAATCAGGACTCTGTAACCTCAGAGAAGTGGTTATATAGCCTGTCAGTAGGAACGTGCACTCCAAAATAATTCAAATACAGCTAGTTACAATCGTTACACCTCAGTTATGAACCAAGTGCTGCCTTAAGCACCATCAAAGGCATCAACGGAGGCAAATGATCCAGTCTCAAAATAACAGGTCAAGCTTTCAGGTGAAGTTAACTGAGAGCGCTTTAACCAACTGAAATAGCATGCCGATATCAGCAAAATTAGACAGACTAGAATGCCCATTAAAAACAGAGGAGAAAATACCTTATGATGAAGGTTGCATATAATTCATGGCCTTTGAATTTGTCACAAATTTCACCTTTTAATAAGAAGCATGCTTAGACCCTATTATATTTTTGGTCCTTTAAATATCAAGGAAAATCCACCCAAAGGCAAACAGAACACAAAATTAGTCGTCTGCTCAAGTGTGAAAGAAAACACAAGTACACCGAGTATTAAATCTATAACATAATATTCCAACATTAAATTTGTGCTATGCTTACACGTCATCTTGCTCATTCCATGTTGACAGTCCCAACCTCGCATTAATGGCTCGAGCTTGCCCAACATGTTCAACAATGCAGTTGCATGTTGTGGATTAAAAAAAAATAGCACAGTTAGTGGTAGAGTTCAATTCTTAGTCCTGGCACAGGCTTTTGCTGAGGGACTTCTGGCAAGTCAATTGGTCTGTCTCTTAGTTTTCAGTTCGCCTCTTTCTTTAGGTTGTCAGCCCTTCAAAGTCTTGTTATATTATCACAAAGTGTGTTGTGACATGGCTTTCTGTTTTCAGTACAGGCTCCTAAGTATTTGTATTACCATAGCGCTTCCGTCATTCCTTCACATTTCAGTGAAGGTCTCCAGATGCAATCAATGACTTCAGGGGCACTGCTCTCATTGCCAGTAGGTTCAGTCATGGAAGTGCCCCACACAACTTTAGGTGGTGTATTTGAGTGCAAATATCTTGAGAGACTAGGAAAGACAGCCTACAAACAAGTTTGCTGTGTACTGAAAAAATGAGGCTGTAAAGTGTCTCTTTTAGAATATTCAACAAGGCAGTTAAACTGTGTGATAGGTGAACATTTCAATCAAATGTATGTTTAACTTTTTTATTTAATAAATTTCTTTCCCAAAAATAGTATTGTAGTCCTTCTACCAGCAACCAAAAAGGCACATAAGTATAAAACAACCCAAAATACAGGACAGGCAGAATACAAAGTGTTTTCAAAACAGTCTTTCTAAAAAAAGTCCTGGAATACATAAATGGCGGTTCTTATTTTATAAAAGTTACAATTTATTGTCGCTCCCCCCACCAGCTGTTTTCTCAATGACTGGTACAATGTTTATTGCAAAATTTTACAGCATTGCTCCTTAGGTGGAGATTTTCAAAAGGACCACAGGGATTTAAAATGTACAAGTTTAGGTGCATTTCAAATAGCAATTTTACACCTAAAATCCTTTAGATATTTTGGAAAGTCCCACTCCAGATTACACTTTATTGGCAAGCGAATTAGGAATTTAACTTTTGAGATGCTGTTTTAGTACATCCCACATTGCTTGAATAAACTATTATTCAACATTTTTTAAAGTTATTTATGTCTGTCTCATTTCTTCAAGACTTGTTTTTAGGTTCCTGACTGTACACACCACATGAAAAGTAGCAAATTCCAAAGTTAAAGGTCATAATTTAGGTATATGACTCAATAGTTAAAAGAGTCATCCATAATATGTCAAACGTATATATTCACAGGCCCAATACATTAAGTAAACAGTATTTGATGTGAATTTGCCTGGGTGGTAACAGAATTAACTGGGGAGGGATGCTTAAGAACTGATTTCAGGAAACAGTTTAAAGAAAGTATTAGTGTTTAAGAAATTAAGCACACAATATATTACAACAATAAAATACTTAAGTACTTATATTGTTCAAAATAATTTCTTAAGAGATTATTTAGCTTTTGACAGTATCAGGAACATCTTAAAAGAAGTAATATGTTAAACAAATACTTAAAAGAAGATGTTCAAAATTCCTACATTCTCATTAAAATTACATATATGAAACTTTTTAGAAGAAGATGAGCGTTTGAAATATTTAACTCATTTACGGGTTGAGGGAAGGAATTTAAGGCTTTTAAGAGAAAATGGGGGGGAATACTTGGATGAAACGGTAACAATCCATTTAAATGTTACTAAAAAGCAGTCTAAACCCTGTATGTAGAATGCGTGTGTACGTGTTTGTGTGTGTGTGTAGGAAATAATTAACTTCATCATTCAGCCCCTCAAACCTGTACCATTCTGTAATAACCCTGTTAATCAACAAGCTTTCCTTTCCATCAATAGACAAGCCATTAATAGCTTAAACATTTGGAATGGAAACCAAGAGATCATACTTTGCAACAGGTGTCCTTATATGAAAAAAAAAAAAGTATCCAAATCAGCAGTCTAATTCAATACAGACTGTGCAGCTTCCCTGATAAGTGATGCAGCTCTGTCCAGTTCTTGTTCCGTTTGCTCCACTGTTACCACTACTCGAATACTGAAAAAGAAAACAAGAACAATTAGGGTCCTGTAATGGCAGATGTTTCCACCTGGGCTTTTTAATTTTTTCTGTACTAGTTTCAATATGTATCAGGATGAAAGCAACTTCCTTGGTCAAAGGTAGCATTTGGGCCATAGATTAATTCAGTATGTTAATAAGCAAACCATATGGCTAGATCGAGGCTTTGGATAGCACTGACCATTCTTTGGGAAAGAACATGGCTATGTTTAATTCCCTTTCATTAGATATTAAGGTCACTGACAGATGATAAAAATGAGATGCACTGGGATCTTATGTGCAATCCTAACAATCATGCTTCCAGCCATATCGCACATGCATGGCGGGAGGCACAACTATGCGATCCAGCATCAGATCCTATCCTGCTATACTGCTGGGGAGCCTGGGATCATGCTCCCAGGCTCCCCCTAGCCCAGCAGACTTTGGTCCCATGGCTGGGAGCCCCATCAGTTGATCAGTGCTCTCAACCCCAGAGGTGCACCATATGCTCTTGAGGCTGAAAGCTCCAATCAGGCGATGGAGCTCCCAGCCATGGAAGTGCATAGTGGCCCCTCGTAGTTGGGAACGATGATTGCCTCATAGTTGTTAGGGGCTGGAAGGGAGCCTACAGATCATCAGGTCCAGCCTGATTGCTGATGGGGCTCCCAGCTGCGGGAGTGCACGTTGCACCCCTACAGCTGAGAGCCCTGTCAGTGATCAAAAAGCTCAGCTGCAGATGAGGATAATGAGGCATGCTGCATTTCTGTGGCTCAGAGCTCCATCAGCTGATCAGAGCTCCCAGGGCAGAAGCTCACTGTCCTCCCCCCAGCTGAGAGCCCCAATCAGCTAACCAGCACGCTCAACCTCTGGAGCACTTGGGACCATGCTCCAGAGGCTGGGAGCACTGGCCACACATTCAAGTAAAGGTGTGATAGGAACCAATATATATACACTGTTGCTTATTCCTGGTTTTATCACACTATTAAATGGATGAATGTGTGGCCGGGTCACTACTTAAGATGTGATTAACCAGTCAATCATGTCTTAAGAGTAGTGTGCGTCAGGGACCTTAGTGTGCCACTTGTCCATCACTCAACATCTCAGTCTCACTTTCTCTCAAGATCAATGAGCATTTTATGAAAAACTGCCTGGCAGGAAACTGGGGTATAGCAAGCCATTTGAGACAATACAATTATCTATAACAGGGTTGTCAAATATACAGCCTGTAAAACCCTATAACGCAGCCTGCAGTGCTGCCCTTGGGTCTTGGACTGAACCCAAACCGCATGCGATACATGCTGGACCAGCCCTGTGCACTGCATACAGGGCCAGGGCCAACAAGCAGGCTTCAGGCAGGATCAGTCTAGGGCCTGTTTCGTATACGATGGGCACCAACCTGGCCCTGTGCACTGGATCTGGTGTGCTGGGCTGCACCACTCATCTGGCCCATGAGACCTGATGAATTTGACACCTATGATCTGTAAGATTCAGCTAATTTTGATACACCTGCTATTTACAAGACATGCTGTAATACTCATCTAAAGTTCTACTGTTCGCATGTTTTCCCCGTCTTCACATTGCAGATTATTAAAAAGGCTTAAAGCAGAAAAGGACTGTTATTATAATAAGCTCTCTCATGCAAACTACATAAAAATAAATAGTCTCTGAATTTTACTAACCTAGGTGGAGGGAGATATTTTTCTTCTTTCTCCAGATAGCAGGCCTGAGTTAATGCAATACCATTGTTCATACACTGCAGATACATAAATGTATCAGTTAAGCCACTGGAAACTAAAATGTACTACATTAAAACATGGTCTAAACAGTATTTACATACTGTTTGGAAGACAAATATGGCAAAATTTTGCACAACAAAAAGTAGTAGGGATCAAAGCCAGGAACACTTAGTTCAATATTAGAAGAATTACTGGAATGCTAGGGTTTGGAAGGGACCTAACCACTGCAAAGATGCATGATTCACTGTTCCCAAGTTAGACATACATTTATTCAGACTTTTGGAAAACTTTTAGTGAAGGAGATTAATCAACTTTCCTAGGCAGCTTGCCCCAGTGTCCCTGTTCTTACAGTTAGGAAGATCTTCCCTAAGATTTGATTTCAACCTACTCTGTTGCAATTTGAACACACTGCTTTCCATCCTACTCCCTGAGTGTGCTTACTTTAGCGCACTCATAAAACAGAGCATTAAAAACAATAAAAAACAACCCTGTACACACTGAATCATTAAGCTTTAAGTTTTAGAAACCTCAGATAAGGCTTTTTTTTTTTTTTAAGGACTGATACAGAAGTATAGTTTTGATATTTCCTTGTACAGATGACTGTCTTTTGGGAGTTCTGAAGTTAAAATGGACTGTGAGGACTGTTATCTTAGGTACTTCATGGATCTCAAGTCAGTGGGGGTACTTTAAGTACTAAGGAGTGGCTACTTCACTGATTAGGAAGCTAATCAGTTTGAAAGTGCTACTATTTAAGTTGCTTAACCATTTACAGGGTTAGCAAAATATAAAATAAAGAGGGCTAAAGGAATCAACTGTCAGGAGTCTCTACTTTGCTTCTATGCACCAATATTTCAATGTATCCTTGAGCATAATGACTGACTTCTTTTATAATGATAGTGCTGTACTGGTGATACTTACCACTTTCAGTACAGACATGGCCTCTGTCCACATGTAGTGATTACTTTGCTAGTTTGTTTAAAGAGAAATTATGTTTTGATTGAAAAAGGGACACTTACATAATCTACAATTCTCTTGAGTAATTTTATGTCGATCTCTCGAGATCCCTGGCTCTCTTCCAGCTGTAGGTGTATTGCTGGCGAAAATGACACGCCCACTACTTTTAAACCTGAAATGCTGAAACAAAATCAAATACTTTTAGTGTCCAGCCTATCACGATAAAGAATACGAAAGTATATAAATGACTTTCAAATACATGTTTTTGAAGCTCTACAGGTTTTTGATGGTTTTACCTGAACGCCTGCATTAAAGTTTAGCACTAGGAGCATGTTACAAATCTACAATGAAATCTGTGGCACAGAAAAGCTTTATACCCTTTGACTTGTCTATACCAGCAACCACAATACAAAATAAGCTATAGAACTGTATGACAACTCACTGAAAACATTTGATTCTTCAGGTGAATACACCTAGACTTTCTTTCATGTAAAAAACCTACTTGTGGTGAATTTGGCCAAGATAGTCCTTATTTTAGTTCAGTTGTATTTCTTAATACAACACCTATCCTGATATTCTTCATCTGCTTTTCTCCAACTGACTTTGTCTAATTTTTCTTGTTTTACTTTAATAACTTGTACTACTCCAACAGAATGTACAACAGAAATGGGAATTCACTGTTTACATTTCAAATTGCCACAGGCAATGTTAACCTTTAACACAATTTTTAAATAAGTTTAGGGTCTTTCCTTAGGAGTTTTATAAATCTAGTTGCATTAAGCCTGTATATTACAATAAACCATTTGTTGTTTTTCAAGAATGGGATGCTTTCAAATCTTTTCAAAAACACAGAAGGTCGGTTATTTAAGCCCAGTCAGTTTTGCCAACAAAAATACAGCTAACCACCCCAAATCAGTCTGTTTAAGCAGAGGGAGGCAGGGGGAACGGGGAGGGGACGTTTAGCATGGCCTTTTACCTATTTAAGGAAGTATGTGGAAAAACAGTAGTTTGTTTTGGGCAGTGAATTAAATTAGCAATTTAAAAATTTAAATTTAAAAACAGAGAAGAGTGTTAATCAGATTCCTGTAAAATATGGTCACTATAGACATGAAATATTACCCTGTTACATACAGTATTGTATAAATCCTGTCAAGGAGATATAGCCAATATTCAAGTAGGATTGGGTGGGTGTGGGAAGTGGAAAATCAACTACAAGCCTTTGCTCCCAAACAACATTTCATATATGTTAACTATACAGCTAGTATCAGTCTTAACTTAGGCTTCCTGACCATGGTCAGCTCGTACTATGGACGATGTACAGGCAACTTCCACTTAGCGCTTTTAATTGGTTCCTGAAAAACTGAGCATTAAGCGAAACCAAAACTATTTGCTGCTACAAGATGGCGACCGCAAGTGTTTTTAATGACCCAAGATGGTGAGTGAGAGTGTTATAACAAAACTCACTGAGCGCTAAGCGAAATCAGGTATCAATTTAAAATGAGCATTATAGCAAAATAGCACCAAGTGAAACAGGTTTAAGCGGGGGTTGCCTGTACTGTAAATTTACAATTAATTTCCTATTAAGCAGGACAGCTCAAGGGACAGAGTGCCAGAGACATACTGAATTAATAACACTGTGGAAAGAAGAGAGGTTTTTCAGGCATGAAGTGTGCCTTGTATTACTTCCACAAAGCTTCACTGAAGGGCCCAATTTTCAAAGGGAAGTCAACGCAGCCTCCCATTTGAAAGCTGCAGAACTGTAGACACTATTGTGTCATGCAGACATTTACATATGTTTTCAAACATACAATACAAGGCTGCTTCTTAAAGTCAAGTACTTAAAGTGTTTCAATATTGGCATACATCCCCAAGAATGCTGAGGAAGACGATGGATGGTAAAGCCACCCAAGGCAGTGTAAGGCTATTCTACAAAGTAGAAACACAAATGGAAATGTATATCATCACAGATAGCAGGGTTTAGGTTCATTCCTTAATAATTACCTAAAGCTAGAGAAGCAGAATTCTAAAAATGTGGAAAATTTAGCCAAACAAGATTTCATCATGCCAGCTTGAACACAGAACTAGAAAGCTTTTGTGCAGGTAAATACTTTCTTAGTTCTAAGACCAAGTACAAAGTTCTGATAGAACTCTGTGAACGCCACATGCCATTGATGACAAGGAGATTTTAAGGATATGAGTCACAAACACTATAATGATTTTTGCAGCTAACTGTGTAACATTCAACCATATTAAATTTAAAACAGGTAAAGTATTTAGGAACAAGATCAGAAAGAAAAAAAATGGGGAAGTGAGAAAAGGTGGGCAAGAACTAAGGTATTTCAGAGCAGGGAACTACCTTTGTAACACTGCCAATTCACACCTTGAATCTCACTGACTGTCCACACAATACTACTTTGTCTTAACTATACACTCAACTCACAGAGTGCTTGCAAATCCCAATCTGGTGCTTAATTTAACGTTCCTCCTATCCGTAAGAACTCTTGTTAACTAACCTTCATCTGACTCAAGCTGCCATCCAACTAATGCTGAACAATAAGTTTAACATGGCTCTTTCAGACAAAGGGCAATTTACTGCATATAAAAGAAGAATTAACTATGTTTTCTTGCGGCCTTTGCTTACATGAAATAAAATCCAAAAGGAATATTTGTGAATAAAGGAGTACATGTAGCACAGAGAAGTCTGGAAAAAAAATGGATTTTTTTTCAAGTAGGATTATCTTCATTTTCTACAGAAAAGAGATAATGAAAAATAAGAAAATAAGAAACAAAACTGAACCTTGTCCTCTGATCTCTACCTGCCTGCCTGCCTACCAGGACTGACAGGGAGCAGGAGCTCTCAGGGCTTTGAGGCTCCCAGATGTCAAGCTGGAAGCAAAGTTCTGAATTTAATCAGGGCAGCCATGCCCTTGACCCGAGTACAATATCCCTGGTGGCAGGTGCTCAGTCCTGAGCATGCCAGATTAATGAGGTTATACTGTATTTTTGCAAAACCATTTCTGCAAAATATTTTAGTTTCAACAAATCTGCCTTTCCCTATGAAAAATTTTGGAAAATTCTCTACCAGCACTATGGAATAAGTTTGAGTCACAAGATTTTAAAGGATATTCTCCACTTCTCTTGTTCCTTTCCTTAGCTTTTCCAATTTAACAATAAAATACTGAAATTTTCATAAAGCTATTTCCTAACTCCAATTGCTTCATGTACCCTGTTTTTAAATAAAGCAGAGAAATCATCCAACCTCAAGCATCATTACAGAAGAATCTAGTTGAGTGACTTGTCACTGGTGCCTAGGAGAAGATGTTAGACACTACAGCATGGAATAATTAAGTGACTTTACTGCAGGGTTTAAGAATATTATCCTTCCCTCCAAAAGCTAGTTGTTGACATACACAGTAAAGCTGGAGGCCTCTTCTCACTATTTTATTCTACTACTCCTTTTCTAGGGTATTAGTTTGAAATTAAACTACATACAAGAGCAGTTTGAATTATTTCTTCCATTAAGTTTTTATGTATCTGCTATTGAATTACCCAATTTTCTAAATTTTCCAGTGCTGTCTAATTGAAACAACTGTTTCTTTTGCAAATTATGCCACCCTGGTGTTCAACCTTTTTCCTGGAGGATTTGAAAGAAATATTAATTATCTGTTCTAGTGCAGAACATTGGGAAACCCCACAGTTAATCATTTTCTAGATTGAAATTTAACTATTTATTACATCTTTGGACCACTTCTTAACGCGGGGGTGCTGAACCTCTGACCCACGGGCCAAACGCACCCTGCAGAGCCTTGGAATATGGTCAGTGGGGCTCCCCACAGGTCAGGAAATTTGGCAGCAGTAGAAATTAATACTGACACCCCTCCTCCCCACTAGCAAAATCTCAAGCCCTGAGCAGTGTGTTGTAACTAGGCCACAGCCCTCCCTGCACATGGCCAGATTGGAGCTAGGCTATACTGCCTTCCCCCCATAAGGCTGGGTTGGGTCCAGGCTTCACTCCCCCCACCCCCATTCCCTTCTCCCTCCCACTCTGGGGTCAGCCCATGCCCCCTTTTCTCCCTGCCTGGCCAGGTTGGAGCTGGCCCATGTCCCATTCCTCCCATAGGGGCTGGGCCATATCCCCCTTCCTCCATGTAGTTGGAGTGGGCTAGGCTCCCCCCCGCATGGCAGGATGGGGCTCCACAGCACCCCTCTGGGCACTGGATTGAGTCTGGGCAGATCTGGCTTGCAGAGGGACCAGGTACCACTGTTCTGATGCACGATAGTATTTAACTTCACAAAAGATTACAGAAAATTGAGACTTAAAAAAAAATTAAAAATTTCCAAACAGCTTTTAGCCACTATTTTGTTGTTGTTACTAGGAATGAGAATGTTTCTTATGTGTTATGCACTGGAAGCCTGGACACAGAAAATGTCCATCTAGGGTTTTGAAATGGTCAGCAAAGAGTGAGAAGATAGAAGGAGAGACTGAGGACTGATCTGAGAATCACACAAGAAAATTTCTGCTACAAATGGTTTTTGCAGTCTCCCCATTAAGATAACCCACACCAAGCATGCTGTAGTTTTGCATAAAGTACAAGGGCCTGCTGGTTGCAACTTTTTAGTTACGGCTGCCTATTGTTTCCAGTCTAACTCCTTCTCTGCCACATCTTCCAGCCTAAGTTGTTGCATGCTTGATCTTTGCTCAAAGGTCAACTTTTAAGTTTTAGATCAAAAACAGTGCGGCTATTTTTCAGCATCAAGCTACTCCTCTTCCCCCTCCCCGCCCCAATCCCCACCAGCTGTCTTTCCTTGATATTTGTGATTAACTATTAGATATCTTAGTAGGTAACCCCTCCTGCCTCTAAATACCAATAATGAAATGAAACAGAGACAGTAATATGGTATAAAATCCACTGTTTTGTTACTGTCAGTGATGTAACATCAAGAAATAAAACTGCCAATCCTGGAAACCTAGGATTCCAATTAAGCTGGCAAGAAAACAAGCACATTTCTGCCACAACCTGCCCATGGTTCACTGGAAGTTCACTGAAACGTAGATGCTTTATGAAAACATTTGTTTGAACAAATGGACATTTTTCCAGTGAAAATATGTTCCGATGGAACATTCCTAAGCTATTCTAATTAAAGAATTTTTAAAAATCCAGTGTTATAGAATAGTGCAGTTATATACCTGTTAAGCCCATTTTACCCCAATTCCAATTTTCAGTCATCAAATACAATTTTAAGTCACAGTACCTGCCTCTTCTTACTATTATTTATAAAATACCAGCAGTTTCTATAAATCTTCAAAGCAATCAGGCCTTCGGCCCAAAACAAACACTATCGACAGCAGACAAATGAAGGAAATGAACCTGTTTTAAAATGATATGATTAATCAAAAAACAAAACTTTGAGCAACAGGTGACTTAGGATAACCAGAACATTTCCTAAATTAAAAATAAGACTACCTGGTAAATGGCTATCAGAAATACAGGTATGAAGAATGCTGGTTAACACAAATACCATTTTGAAATAAAAAGCAGATGGTTAGAAATAACTGATAGCTGATAAAAATCCTTAAATATTAAAAATTGTGCAACTAAAATTGGGTTATAGATTACTGCCATGCACTGATGGATTTTTTAAAAAGAATTAAATATGAAACAAAGCTGAATTAGAATTATAAATTGAGCATAAGCCTTTTATTTATTTTTAATCCCTTATTTAATTTTCAGACCTAGAGCAATTACTGTGCCATAAAACTACTGTTATATTTTTTAAAAAACCCAAAAAACCAAAACTCAGTACTGGCACTAACTTTGCTAGTGTACAGTTTTCTCTTAAACAGAAATTTTGAGATAATAAGCTATAGTGGCAAGATTTACTCTTTCAAAAAAATCAGTGGCTCTGTTATTTAAAATCTAAACTTGAAGTGCCAGCTTCCATAAGCATTAATTATAGCATAGTTTTTGTCATGTGAAGAAGCATCTACTATGCTGTAGACTGAAAGCATTTTCTGTGATATTAATTTGATATGTGATGACTCGGGTATTAGATGTTACATTAGACATATTTACCAGTCTACATGAATATGCTACACGTGGTCAGTCTACATTACACTACTACAATGCCATATTGCCGTTGGTTAGAGATTTAAATTAGAATTTCATCTGCAGGGACCTGAGAACATCAATGCATTGAGACATTAAGCAAACAGGAGATAATCTCACTTCAAGATCTGTAAGTAGACTCGAAAAAGTTTCAGACCTAGACTAATATGCATTTTTACTAGCCTTGTATATTAAGATGACATATTTGGAGAATGGGAAAAAATGGAAGCCTTCTTTCCCATTTAAGTGCTATAGTGCCTCCTGGCAATCCTCTCAGGTTACGTATCAGAACAAGTGGAAATTCCTTGGAGAGGAAGGGTATTTGTACGTAAGCTTACACCGCAGCGTTGGGTGCTTTTAAAACTTGCCTGGCGCTGCAGCACATACACTTGTATAAATGGCAAAATGTGCATCAGCATGGAAAAAACGGTGGTGGCGCACTTCTGAACCAAAACACAAAAGTGTTTTAGTTCAAAAGTGCACTGCTGCCATTTTTTCTGCACCAACATGCATTTCACCACTTATACAACTGCATGCAACACAGTGCCATGCACGTCAACTCGCGTATAGAGCAGACTCAATTAATCACGCCTGCTCCAACACACTGGGGATCCAGTGCATCACAGCGTGAAAAAGTATGCGTATAAATGCCTGACGAGTCCTTTTCCAGAGGTATCTTTATAAAATGCTAAGGAAACTGATGATGGTCGAAAAATAAAGAGCTTACCGTTGCAAAGCTTTGTGAACCCGTTTGCATTTCTCTCGTAAAACCTGAAAAACGTCTAGACAAAAGAAAACTGATTCAGTCTCATTTCTACTTTATATTTCTCTAAATCCACAATAAGTGTTTGTTTTACAATGAGGCATGGTATAAAGCTTTCAGAGTTGCTTAACCCTCCGCATTCCCATTTCCAACATTATGTAAGAGGCTTTGAAAAGTGAACTGCTGTGCCATTTCCCTGTACTTAAACTATTCCAGGAGGTATAAATTCAGGTCTTGTTCATTTGATCCAAATGATCCTGGAGCATATAGAAAGTGCTATTTGGAGGAAAGAAACAGAGAAAGGAACCTTGAATCATGTGTAATACTCCTCCCCCCCCAATTGTCCTTGAAAATTCCCAAGTATCAACTAGGAGGAGTGAATTGACAAAACTGATGTTTTAAAACTATTTTTCACTACAAATTGAAAAGGGGCTCCTTCTCTGGCTCCTTCCACATCTATATCTCACTCATTGTCACTGAAGGAGAAAGTGTAGCTATGATAGTGTAGTGATAAAAAAGGAAGAGTGGGAGTTAAAACAAAAGGAAGAGCTAAAGAATGCCAGGAACAGAAACAGTGGGAAGGGAGCGAAACAAATCATTTAACAAAAGGGTAAAATAAATGAGGAAGGTAGAGAATAAAAGGATAAATAAAGAGTGACAGTGGCAGAAAACTGTGCTCAGAAGCCTTTAATCTTGAACTTTGATGGTCATTAGTGTGACCCAAAGGCAGGTGGAAAACACATTTTGCAACATCATGAAGCACTGTTTCTCCAATTAAAATACCTGGATTCTCTTCCATGATGTTGAGGGCCTCAATAGCAGCAGCAGCTAACAGAGGGGGTAGAGAGGCTGAAAAGCAGTACCCCTGACCAGATAACCGCTGAGAAAAGCAATGAAAAGACAGACGTTTCAGTTTTGTTTATTCATGATACTACAAAGAATCTTTAATGTCATTTGATTTAAATAATAGAACACCAAGCTATTTCTGTTTCAATACAGCTTTTAACAAAGTCCTCTAATTCATCCACATCATCTTTTGGAACAAGTGGGTTGGTATGTGGAATAAAGCTGTATGCAATCAAGATGTAGCTTTTAAATGGAAGTTATTAAAGCACTGTCTCAGTAACTCAGCCTGCTACTCCACTAAAAAAATAAAATAAAAGCTGGCTTACCTGGTGGTCTATAACAAAAGTTCTTCCACAGCAAAATCCTCCAATAGAAGCAAGGGAATTCTCCATGTCTGCACTAATGAGATCTATATCATCAATCTGTCATTTGATGAGCAGAATAAATCAGAGGACGAGATATGAAAAGGGTTTTTTTGTTATTAAATTGATACTATTTGCAGGGTAAACTGCAATTCAAATAAATACCATACTTTAACATTCATAAAAACTGGAAAATTTTCAACAAGCTGCCACATATGCATAAAATATCAATTACGAAGTACAGTTGAAATTAGCATAACAATTTTTGACTTACACAAATAAAGAATATTGGCTACATATATAATTTATTTAGATTTGTTCAGGCATTGTAATGTATGCAACATGTAAAAAAATCAAGTTAGGCCATTTTAGGCTCCAATTCAGCAAAATGTTCAGAAACACGCTTTACTTTAAGCAAAAGTAATCCTACTTAAACATGGCATAATTCTCATAGATTTTAAGTTACAAACATGTTTAATTGGACTGGGGTTTGGATCCTTAACGGTCTCATTAACTCAAATTGCAAGAAAGTTCTCCTTTGTAAGATATATGGTAACTCACAGCAATATCTACTGCAACAAGCCTTCGCTCTGAATGAACAAGACCAATAAAGACTATGAATGCGTAAAGGAATTTAACATGTAAGCCAAGCAAACTTTATGGCAATTCTGCTTTTGTTTTACTTCTTATAATGTTTGTCTTACTAATTCTTTGGGGGGTTTTTTTAATATAGTATGTAGGCTACGAGAGTTAATAAAGCAACTGATTAAGAGACAAATAGGAAGAGGCAGCAGAGGTGGATATGGAAGGCAGAGAGCCATGTTGGCAGAGAAGTGTGTGAAGGAACTAAGGGAATCAGTAGAGAACAAAGAATACCAGGGTTCAGACTGCCACGCAATTTGGCCCACTCATCATTCATAATGATGCAGAAGCTGCCTCTGAAGTACTGATACTGTCTCCCAGAGGTTCTCTTTCCTGTTCAACTCACATAACTAAAGGGAGAGAACAGCTGCAGGGGTCTTGGTTATATAGATCATCCAACTCCATGTTCCTTAGTACAGGGTGGCAGGTTTTCCTGAGTTAGGAATGCCCCATTATAGGCTTCAACTTCAGGGCATGGACAAACATTTACTTGGGGGAGCTTCAAAAGGGAAAGGGAAGGCCCCTGCCACTCTTTGGGAACGAACAACAGTTGTTTGTCTTTTATCTGCTCGGTGTACAGGGTATAGTGGTAACTGATAGGCTAAATCATCTCAACTTTAATCCTGGATGATGCAGGGCTAAAATTGGAGCAGTTTTGCTACACTTGCATGGCTACAAACTCCTGCACCTGTAATTGGAACAACCTCACAGCTGCTGAACTGTCCAGAGCAGCAGCTCCCACTCCCCTTTTCAAGGCATGTCAGGTAAGCATTTTTTCATGCTTTCAATTTGCTAGCACAAGAAAGTCCTATGGCCATAGCAGGGCTATAGGACCTGCTTACAAAACAAGTGGAGGAAGAGCCCAGATGCCTTTATTTGCAAAACAACAAATCCCCACTGAAAGAAAATGGGGAATAGAAACACATGGAGGGGCGCTTCTGACTTTTTTGGTGAAAGTGTAAGTTTATAGGGATTGTGGCTGTACTGACAGAAAGCCAAAGGAACATATGGGCCAGATTTTCTACAGCGATTTAAAAAAAAATATAATTTCTCTCTTGGAATGCAAGAATTTTAGTTATAAAAATATGTTTAAAAGTTTAATGGCTCCCTTAAAGAGTCTTTAAATCTGAAGACTCAATTCAGTCAGTGTTAAATATAACATT